ATCTGACAGCATTTGTTTGCATGGGACAATGTATCACCTGTGAAAGGATCTTGCTGAAACAACTGAACTTGAATAAGATCAAGACCCTGGTTCTAACTATTTTACAAGATAGAGATGGGACGGTTGGTTAAACCTTGCACAGAAATACAAGCAACCAAATCCAGACTGTGGAAAACTTTATAGGGCACACAACACAGCTTCTTCAGCACATCAATTACAAGGGGAAAAAAAAAAAAAAACGGCAGGAAAAAAAAGGCGGGGGTGGGGCAGTGAAGGGAATAGGAAGAACTAGAAATTTAAAAAGATGTAAAAGATTTAAACCAATTACAATATATGGATCTTATCTGGTTCTTGTTTTGAATTAAACTGAAAAATACGATGTATCAGATAATTGGGGGATTTTCAACAACTGACTGGATATTTGAAGAGGTTAAGAAATTACTGCTTTTAAAAGTATTATAATGGGATTGTAGTTATATTTTCAAAAATTTGTTACTCTTAAGGCAGAAGTTCCCAAACTTTGGCATGTGTTAGAAGTACTGGAGGGCTTACTAAAACACATATTTCTGGACCCCAAGCCCTGAAATTCTCATTCAGTGGGTCTAGGGTGGGTGTCAAGAATTCACATTCCTAACGTGTTTCTAGGTGATGCTGAGGTTTCTGGCCCAGGGACCACGCTTTGAAAACCACTGCTTTATAGATACGTGCTTAAAAAAAAAAAAAAATGTGGATGAAATAATAGCCCATCTGTGGTTTATTTACTTCATTTCTGGTGGCAGGTGATGTGGGTATGAATAAAACAAGCATTTCCGTTGATAATTACAGCCTGGTGACGAGTATATGGAGTTCTATTATACTATCCTTACCACATGTGCCTGTGTTTGAAGTGTTCTATAATTACAAGTTAACATGTAAAGAAAATATAAATGTTTATATTTATGAATATATATGTTTATATTTGTAAATATAAATAAAATACTCAAATGATTAATGCTAATACTTATTGTATTGACTTCAGGTATAAAAATCACATGTTAAATTTATTAATTTGGAAATGCTTTTTTTTTCAGTTCTGCATTTCTTAAGAAATCCTGTCAAGCTTTTTATATCCATCTTTCTCATGATTGTATTTATTATCACTAGCATCTCTTTTTGAGCCATTTAACAGCTTTCTGGAGCACATCAACACCTTGGTCTCAAATGTTGAAGAATCAGAACTTTTCAAATCTGCATTAGATGCTGTCTCTGCAGATTTCCTCTCAAGCCCCAGCTATGCATTGCGCAATATGAAGACAATTCGTTGTGTTCACTTGTCTTGGAGAAGGCTGTTCATGGATTCCACAATATAACCACTTTATTTATTTTTAATTTTTTAATGTTTATTTATTTTAGAGACAGAGAGAGAGAGAGACAGAGCACAAGCAGGGGAGAGGTGGAGAGAGAGAGGAAGACACAGAATCTGAAACAGGCTCCAGGCTCTGAGCTGTCAGCACAGGGCCCTATGCTGGTTTTAAACTCTGGAACAGCGAGAGGTCATGACCTGAGCTGAAGTCAAAGACGTTCAACCGACTGAGCCACCCAGGCTCCCCATCACAATATAACCACTTTAAAATAGTTTTTTTAATAACCAATATTTTTTAAAAGTCTTATTCACACTCCCCAGACCCCAAGAAGAATTACTAAATCTGTGTTAATGTTTTTAAGTTTATTTATTTTGAGAGAGAGTGAGAGACAGAGAGAGAGAGAGGGAGAGAATGAGTGGGGTAGGAGCAGAGCGAGAGGGAGAGGGAGAAAGAATCCCAAAATGGGATTCAGTCTCATGGTCATTAGATCATGACCTGAGCCAAACTCAAGAGTCAGAGACGTTCAACTGATGGAGCCACCCAGGTGCCCCTAAATCTGTGTTAAACTTCTGTGCTTCATTTGTAACAATTCTTCTAGGTAAATGTCACAATACTGGTGTTATGCCCCAAATCCACTGTGTGTTAGCCACAAGCACTATTTTCTGATTCAAAGTAAAACAAATGAGAGAAACCTGTAGAACTGGAGATTTTACAGATACTCTGGCAACCCTTGAAGTCAGAAACATGGTAATTCTTGATCAACATCTTCCATGTTATCTTCTTTGACACTTTGTGGATACAATGTTTGGAAAAACAACAGCCCCGGGTGATTGGTGTCAGCAAAGGGAAAAGTCTGAAGCCAGGCACACGCCACAGGGCCTGAACAGACCATCGTCACCTTTCTCACACTGTGTTTCTCTATTTGTTCTTCAAATTTGGCACTGTTCTTAAATGCTGGGAGTCAGTGGGGTACCAGACTGTTCTGGCCCACACAGAGCTCTCACTCTATTGAGACACACAGCAAATGACAAATCAAGGTTTAGAATTTACAAATTGTTTAAAATACATTATAATACTCATTCCTCACAGCAGTCCTGGGAGTAGAATATAATTTCCTCTTTCCGTAGGAGAGCCTATAAAATTTAGTCTGTGGACATCTAGGCTAAAAGATCTGTGATGGCAAGAAGCATACCTGCCTTGTTCACCTGTATCTGTAGTGAAGATAAAGGCATTCAATAAACTGTGGTGTTTAAATGAGGAAAGGGACACCTTGACTCCTTTGGAATGGTGAAGTATTGATAAATGCTCCTTCGGAACCCTACAGTATAGGGGCACCTGGGTGGCACAGTCAGTTAAGTATCTGCCTTTGGTTCAGGTCATGATCTCATGGTTCATGAGTTCAAGCCCAGCCTTGGGCTCTGTGCTGACAGCTCAGATCTTGGAGCCTGCTTCAGATCCCGTGTCTCCTGTTCTCTCTGTCCCTCCCCTGCTCACTTGCTCATTCTCTCTCTCTCTTTAAAAAATAAATAAACATTAAAAATATTTTTTTAAAGAATCCTGCAATATAGAAGTGTATCAATTCTCAGAGGCAGAAAAATATTTGTATGTGGCTGAAAATAGAAATGTTTTATATTACAAATAATTTCCAAAGAAACATACTGTTCTAAGAAAATGTTCTAGGGACGCCTGGGTGGCTCAGTTGTGTAAGCATCCAACTTCAGCTCAGGTCATGATCTTTTGGTCTGTGAATTTGAGCCCCTCATCGAGCTCTGTGCTGACAACTCAGAGCCTGGAGCCTGCTTTGGATCCTGTCTCCTTCTCTCTGCCTCTCCCCCACTCACGCTCTGTCTCTCAAAAATGAATAAATGTTTTTAAAAAATTAAAGAAAGAAAAAGAAAAAGTTCTAGGAAACACCTGAAATACCTAACCAAACATTTTATAGGATGAAACTGCTCTGTGGACTGAATGTGGAATCTCTCTCCTCCTGGGGTAGTGGGGGAAATGTAGGTTTCAAATCTTACCTGCACAATTCACTAGGGGGTAAATTTTGAACAATTCCTTTTTTTTTTTTTACCTTTATTTATTTATTTTGAGAGAGAGAGAAAATGCTCATGCATACATGCCAGAAAGGGAGGGGCAGAGAGTGGGGGAGAGAGAGAATCCCAAGCAGGCACGATGCTGTCAGCACAGAGCCCAATACGGGGCTTGATCTCACAAACCATGAGAACATAACCTGAGCTGAAAACAAGAGTCTGATGCTTAACTGTCTGAGCAACCTAGGCTCCCCAATGTCATTATTTTTTATGCCTATTCTAGAACTCTCTACCACTCCTGCTCACTCTTCCCACTCTAAAGAGCCTCTTGATTTTTCTTTAAAATGCTTCACGACTATAAAGCACCTACAGGTTGCTATCCATACTGACTGGTTATTCAACATGACTATCAACTGAGTACAGACATTCAGCTTTCAGTGAATCCTTCTGATAATGTCTCCTTTCAATTACCTGACATCAAAAAGGATTATTTTTGTGTGTCTCAATTTATTCCCAAGATTTTATTTTTATCTGGTATGACACGGTAACAGATATAATGACAACTGCCTTTCAGAGAATAGTTTCTTACGTTTCCCACACAAAGGCGGCATGCCACATATCACAGGAACACATGAGGAAGGACCAAGCTCTGTCAGGAGGCAGAAGTGAGGGGACAGCACAGGCTACAGTCTTTATACAGGTTTCCACAGGAAAGGCAACGCAGCACAGGGGAAACAGCTTAGGACTGGCTAGCTTGAATAATTCCAGCAGGGTTTGAGCATAGGGGTGGTCCCTAGTTATCCAGTATCTGGACTGGGTTGATTGGGGGCAGGGGAAATATTTGCTTCGTGAGAAATTCGTGAACCCTGGGAAGGGCAGTCTCTTCCAGCCAGCAAGGCTACCTGAGATGTCAAAACGTCATAAAATACAGACAATAAAAAACATGAGTAATACACCTACACCATGGCAAGAGGGAATGGTACTTCATCACTCACCTTTGTTCCATCATTTATTCTATTGTAAACTTTATGAACGTTGCCCTTGGGATATAATATTCTGGGCTTTTGAATCTCTTCTGTTCCATTCCTGACAAAACTCACAATTGCCTTTGCTGTTCTTCCTGAATCTGTTAATTAAAACAGTCTAAAGGAGTGGCTGGCTGGCTCCATCATAGAGCATGGGACTCTTAATCTCAGGGTTGTAAGTTCAAGCCCCACGTTGGGTGTGGAGCTTAATACACACACACACACACACACACACACACACACACACACACACAGCCTAAGGATACTTTTATCTCTAATAAGAACCCTATATTTCCCTATAAATGCCTTATGATATACCTATTTTTCCTTTGTCGCAGATACCTTCTTTCTTGCACAAATGAAACGGCACTGTTTTACTGTTAATATATTTGTCAAATGTATGAATTGCATAATGCTGAGATTGATGTTGAGACAAGCATTCTTTGGGGACTCATTGATTCAGTCACTCTATGGACTGAAGTCACTTAGAACTGGGAATGTGTTTTAAGAGATTGTTTCCTCGTTCATATTCTCCTTTCTTCTTTCTCTTTTCCTCTTTCCTTCTGATCCTTACTACCATTTGTCTTTGTTTCTTTAAGATTCCCATCCAGGCAAATGTCCATTGTAGCTCAGTACCAACTGGAGACCAGTCCCTATCCTATATCCATGGCCTCCCCGGGAGAAACCTGAGACTGGTCTTTGGAACAGATGGCAAGGGACAGCTCTGACCAACCTAAAGTACGTATACTGAGACTTGCCTTGTTTTCTATTGTGGATGAAGGGTATTATTTGTTGCCTGTAGACTTTGATGTGCAGCAGATAATGAGACAGTCTGAGAGGGACGCTAGAGGCCATATAATGAAGATTCCAAGAAGCTCCTTGGTGAGCTTACAGGCAAACCTTGATTGTCTCAACTGAACTTCTCATCTTTCTTCCACCTTCTTCCTCTGGAGACAATGGGTCTCTAAAACTTGGCATTCTAAATTCTCTTATAATTTAAAAAGTTATTTTGTAGAAGACGGATGATATACCTTCAGTAGCCTTCTAACAGAGTATGCACTCTAAAATGATTTTCTTCTTTTCTTCTTCGGAAGGCAACGGTCCCGAGGTATTGCAAACTAATAAATATGCCCAGAATGAATACCAACCTCCAGGTGTTACCAGCTTGCACTGTTCTAGGCGAGGCCTGAAAGTGGGTGCTCTGATATCAGCCCCACTAGGCTTCTGCTTCTTTGCATTGGCCGTCACTTCTCATTTTAGAACTGTGTTAATTGATTGTTGCTGTTGCTCTTGTGTCAGGATTTTGGCCAGAGGCCAAGTGGAACAACAAGAGAAGACGCTTTTCTTCTTGCCCTGGTCAGAAGAGAACTCAGCTCGCGCCCTTTGAGTTCTGGCTTCCTAGAAAAGCTTCAGAAAGAGCTGAAGATCCTGGATCCTATCTCTTCAGGATTTCTTCTCCAGTCTCAGCTAAGCCACCTTTTCTTAAGACAGGAAGTCCCTCTACAGTTACCAATAGTCAAGATCCTTTGCCAGAGATTTTCTAAGAGGGGCTCTCCAGAAATGGTACAGCCATGTTGCTATTCTAAGCATGGGTTCCTTTTGTTTATTTTACTTGTACGCACCAGAGTAGAATTAAAATTTTAGTTTCTTTTTTTTTCTTAAAAATAACCTTTACTATTGACTCCTAAGATACAAAGCTTATTTGTATTCATATGTGGAAATTTCTAGTCAGAAGAAACCAGAATAGAAAATGGATTAAGTCTCTTAGCTCTATTTAATTTCTTTTTGAAAGACTGCTGTTCCTGACTCATTATCTGCCCTGTGCACTATTGGGTTACAGATTCAGGAAAATGGGCTCACTTGAGTCAACTTACATGTCGGTCAGTCTGTAGGCTCTGAGATGAGAATGGAGAATTTGACTAGGATGTATCATTGCAGAGAGTTCCCTAAAGAGTTAGAAGTGGGAGGTATATTTGAAATACAATTCACCACCATTTGACTAATTGGGAAGCTGAGATCCAGAGTGGGGAAAGGAAATTGCTTAGTGTACTCAGAGAATTAATGGTGGACCCAAAGCAGAGATTGAGGCTCCCCAGTGACAAGTCCAGGGTTCTTGCTCTGAACACTGCACTTCCCAAGCTCACATTTATGGGTAGATACAAAGCATAGTCCAAGTGTAACCAGGGTGCTAGAGGAATATATCCTACAATAGAAAAAAGCAATAGCAATGGGTAAATCATGAGTGAACATGTGTAGAAAACCAGGCTAAAACAAACCTCATAGGGGTAATCTGGGAATTTAGTAATATAATAAGTGCAAATTACCTGGCCGCATGCTTAGCATTTAGTAGGTATTCAAACAAATGTTAGTTCTCTCTCCTGCCCATTTCTAACCAACTAACCAACTATAATTAGTTGTATATTGATGAGAAGTATTTAGCAATACAGTGTCAACTTAGTACAGCCACTGTGAATCTTCAATCAAATTCTCTGGCCTGAGATTGATTTTATGTCAGAACCTTATATAGCTTCCCTCCCCCATGGTTATCCCTCAACTGCCCTGGAGTTGTATGTCCACCAGAGTCTGTAGGATGTCATCCAGACCAGCAATGGAAATGGACAACATTCTTTCAGTCCTTTCCCATGTTTAAAAAGAAAAAAAGGACTGGGTGGGGGGGGGGGGGGGGGGGGGGGGGGTGTCTTGAGATTTTTCACTTAGCTTAATAAGACCTTGTCCTCAAATAATCCGAACATATCTGCTAGATATATCTAAATACAAGCAAATGCTATATATAATAAATATATGAGATGTGAGAGAGCAGCTAGAGGTTAGGTTATGCTGTAGTAACAAACAGCCCCAAAATTTCAGTGGCTCAAAACAACAAAAGTTTACTTCTCACTTACACTTCCCTAATAGGTCAGGCACAGTTTTGCCATTATCTTAGCTCCCAAACCCACACGGATGAGGTAGCAACTCTGGAGTATTTTTGGACATGCTGGCAGAGGGGGATAAAAAGAGAGCTATGGAGTGGCTCGTGTGAGCAGTTTAATCCTCAACCAGAAGGAGCACATGTCACTTCTGCTCACAACTCATCGGCCAGAATTGTTCCCATAGCCCTACCCAACCACAAGGCAATCAGGAAGGGGGGATAGTAGGAATATTTGCTTTTCAAAAGCACTAATAATTATCATACTATATTTTTAAGGCTGTTTTAGAAACTTTTAATGGTAAAAAAAAATTCCAAATACCCTCTACCTCAACAGGCATTTCCCTTATGGGCATTTATTTCCCTTATATGTACGTTAAATGACAGCGTTCTTTTTCATATTGGATTTTCAGGTGAGCTATGGAAAACTCCTCTGGTTTTTAAAAGCTGCAGCTTCAGGTGACTCCCAGCAAAGCCAAAGAGTTGTGGGCAGCAATGGGAACAAGAGTCAGAGTTATCACGATCATGGCCAAGGGTACTTTCCTTCTTTTCTTGGGCATAGTGTTCCTAGATTTCTAGAGCTGGCGGTGACATCAGAGGCCATTCACCTGAAAAGCTCACCCAAGGTAGAATCACCATGCCCTTCACCAACACTGGGCTTATGCTGATCATTTCCTCTCTCTGGTACAAAGGCCAGCACAGAAAGTTATTTGCAACAATTGCATAGTTTCTTGAGATCAAGCATGTGTCTTTTTTTTATGAGGTTGCCATGTGAAAAGGAAAACCCTCATTATGAAGTAAGGAATGACTGTATACTGGCACAGAGCTCCAGTCTCTAAGGTATGATTCCAGAAACACGCTTCATGAGTGAACTCCTGGTTTACGGGCACTAGCAAAGAAAGGTTTCAGGTACAAGAATCAATAATCCCCTCATATAATCTCAAAGGAAAGAGATGACACAAAGTAAAAACAGGATGTGAGGAATATCATTAGAGATGAGGCACAATAAAGCATGAGAGTCTCTGTGTTCTCCAAGAAAGTTGACAAAGTGCAGTAGTTAGGAACATAGCCTCCATTACCTAAAGCCTGGGCTCAATTCCTGTTTCTGCCATTTAATGGCTATGTAACCTGAGGACAGTCAGCTACCCTCTCTGTGCTTCCATTCTCCAAGTGTGAAATAGGAACCATAAGACATTTCCCTTCACTTCATAGATTTATAAGGGTAAGTCAATCAATCAAGGCAAAGTTCTCAAAAACAGTATCCGATACATAGTAAATGCTATAGAAGAGTGTTTTTACTTTTTTTTAAACTATCCTACCAGAAGATACTCTTTCCATTACAAATAATGAGACACAGTGATTAAGAGCCATGATATTGGAATTTATCACTTCACTCTAGGGAACTAGAGTTTCCTGTAAAAATGTCCCTGGGCCAAATGTTAGACTTGATTCCTTTCTACGGTATGCCATTTTCATGCCCTTTTGGCATTCGTTGAATACCAGATGCTTGCCAGGCACACCTTGCTGTGCACAGTGAATTCAGAGGTTGGCAAGGCCCATTCTTTCCCTCAAGGGCTCAAGTTGCAAAGAAAGTGACACTGCCATGTGGGTCTATGAGTCAAATATCTGGGAGCAACTGTGCTATGGAGGGCCATAAAGCCCCCAGAATTTTTTTAAAGTAGGTTTATTTTTGTGAGAGAGAGAGAGAGAGAGTGGGAGAAGGGGAGAGAGAGAATGAGAGAGAGAGAAAGAGAGAGAGTCCCAAGCAGACTCTGCACTGTCAGTGAAGAGCCCAATGCAGGGCTCTAATTCACAAACCGTGAGATCATAACCTGAGCAGAAATCAAGAGTCAGACACTTAACCCACTGAGCCACGCAGGCGCCTGTAGCCACAGAAATTTTTAATAATCAGCAACCACACTTCATAAAATACAGACCATGAGATTTGAGCCCAGAGAGGTGGTGGGCTATGCACTAAAACACATGGTTACCCATTGGCAGGTATGGGTACTATGGGTCCTGGACAGGAAGGCTTTCCTGAGCCCTGGACCAGGTTGTATCTCTTTGTGGTATGGCCCCACAGTCCTTTCCTTGCCTAACAGCCGTGGTACTTGTAACTATGTACTTGACATTTGAGGTTAGTGATAATAGCGTGTGCCCTAGCCAACTCGGTGTCGAGCGTAGTTCCTGGCACGTGGGAGATGCTCAACGAGTAATTTTTTAAATGTAATTGGCACCCTAATTATCCACTTGCAGGGACATCTGGATATCTACTCTGTAAAAGAGGTGCACAGAGAGATCATTTTGAACTCATCAGAGAAGGTGCTGCTTTACACAAACCAGACAGCATGTTTGTGGAAGTGCAGAACTGATGGCCCGTAATGAATCCAGGCTCTTTGTTAATCAATGTGCTGCTCAGGAAAAGGCTCTCCCGCGCATTCTGTCAGGGAGAGCCTTTAATGGGGTAGCTCTGTGATGTTTAAAAAGCCTCCGGCATCACCTGTGGCAACAACAGTGGCAATGGCTCTCCTTACCTAAGTTGGACCAGATGAAACACACTCTTGCAGCAGGTTTCCTAAGAAACCCCACCAGCTGAAACAAATGGGTTCCATACAACTCCTGCCCATTTAGCAATTGGTGTTCGGAGTCAGGGGCCAAAGCCTCATGAATTCCTACCCCCAGGAAATGGCATTGCAAGAAAAGGAACGAGGAAGGAAAATTTGTGATTCAAATCTGGGACAGATACATCTGATTGGCAAGGCCTGGGTCATGTGCTCTATCAGCAAAGAGAGACTAGTAAACCAAATAGCTAGCATTTTCCTCGACTGGAGTGAGAGGCAGACTCCTGAGCTAGAGAACTCTCTGAACAAAGGAAGGAGGGTGAAGAAACTATGTGACCAAAACAAAGACAAACAGCCACCCCTTCCTGCACTAAGCTTTTGGAAAATATTAGCTATTAGGCCAAAGCCCAAGTAAGAGTCACAGAGCAAAAGAAGGTGCAATATGACCTTTAGTAAAAGTTAAATACATGCATATAAAAAGAATCGATTCCAAGTGCTGCACAAGATCCCCAGGAAATAGTAAGAAACAAAACAGAGTTGATCCACATCTGATGGAGCAGTCAAATAGGGAAGTTAGACACGAGGCAATGACCAAAGAAATAAAGATGTGAATGCAACACGAGGGAGATTTATTAAGGAAAAGAACAAGGAATTATAAAAGAGCTGATCAAGCACAGGGTGCTGGAGCACCACTGAGAGACAATTGGGAGCACCACTTCCCAGATACTCATTCAGTGACGTCGGGTTGGTAGCTTGAAGTCAGCCATGGTGGGAGCACTTGCACCGTAAAAATTAGTAATGCTAACAGATCAGGGCCTTATCTTGGAGAGCGGGTTGTTAAACTTTACTGGCATACCACTGAAAGAAGGCTGATTTACAGGAGTGGAGACTGAGGGATGTCACAGAATGTCCCTGTAGGGAAGTGGCACTTGACGTTGAGACGGTGGAAATTAGGAAAAGCTCCACTGCCGAGAAGACAGTTCAGACGGATCCGGAAGGAACATCATGTGAATGCTAAATGAGTAAAAATCTCACTAGTTAAATCAAATAAGTAAATGACTGTAACATTTTTATCATCCTGTGGTTTTTCACCTATTATTTAAAGTAACAATAGTCAGTGAGATAAACCATCTTAATAATTATAAACATTTGCAAAATCATTATTACCAAAACTTTTCTGGGTTTTCCAGATACAAATTGCAAAGTCAAGGATAACAGAGGAAGTTCACTCGATTCAAGATTTCCTTCTAAATAGGTTCCCTGGTTACAGAGATCTGGCAGGATCTGATTTGCTTTGCTTGTGGCAATGAGCGGTTTGGAAATTTGATTTCCCATCAATAATTATCTGGGCCTAAGAGAAGTAAGATCAGGCAGCTAAAGTAAACTACTGTGGTCACTTCCAATTTTTTCTCTCAACCTGGAAAAAAGAGTTAGAGATTAGGTTACAAAGTTTGGTTTATGTTCTAGTTGAATTGGTTGGTGCCTCATGGAGAAGAGACTCTAGTGGTCAGGAGAATGGAATCGATTGGAATGAATGTAGCAAATCTTCATGCTCAGATGCCATGACCAGGTTACTGAGATTTAGAAGACCCTCCTGGGTGGGTTCTCTGGTTCCACAGTGTATGTCAGGGGTGAGAGATCCAGTATGAAAACATAGAACAGCTTTGGGTGGATCATCTTTTCATAGCATTTCCCCTGCTCCTCCAAACAGTACTGCTCGTCAAGATGCCAGCCCACAGTCAGAAGTGAGCAAGAGCCTGTCGGAGATCTTGATGGCACTAAGGACAACTAATGGGAAACTCAACATAGAGAACCTCAGTCGGAATTTTCAAAAAGAAGATCGCTCATTTTCTGGCTCCCTGCCCCTACCCAAGGTAACCAAAACTAGAGTTCAGATGTGTTGATCTCCAAAGGCTACCTCAGGGCATTGGGTCTATAAGAAAGCACAGTTATGATCTGTGTTCTGCCTGTGGATCACATTATACACTTGTTTTCTGTGCCTCAGAGGAGAAAAAAAAGAAGACGACGACGACGAAAAGGAATTATGGAATGTGCAGAATCGGTCCAGGAATTACTTACACTGGGATACGTTTTATGATAATAATAGAAAATATGAGGGGAGCCTGGGTGGGTCAGTCAGTTAAGTGTCTGACTTCAGCTCAGGTCATAATCTCACAGTTCGTGAGTTCGAGCCCCATGTCAGGCTCTGTGCTGACAGCTCAGAGCCTGGAGCCTGCTTTGGATTCTGTGTCTCTCTCTCTCTCTCTGTCTCTCCCCCACTCGTGCTCTGTCTCTCTCTCTCAAAAATAAGTAAACGTTAAAAACTTTTTTAAAAAATAATAGAAAATATGACAACACCCAAGTAACATTTCACGATGGAAAATAAATATTTTCCCAAGGCCAAATGTTCACTTCTCACACCCTGTACCAGTTTCCAGTGACATCAGCATGTGGTATCTCATGCTTTAGGAACACCAAAGTTTAGGAACTAGTGTGATTTATTGCTGATAGAGACTAGTCTGCTGTTTGGGAACATTAATTAACAGTACAGATGTGTCTTATGGAAGAAGATCCAGAACCATATTAACTCAAGTATTGTCTTCAGCCAAACAAACCCTAGGCATGAGGCTACCTCAGATACAGGGCAAATAATAATTATGAGTATTACTACAATTCCATTAACAACAATTTGTCACCACCAAGCTTTGAGTTCTTACTAAGTGCCAACCACTGCACTAAATGCTTTAGTTACACCATTTTAATTTAACATTTACAGATGACTACAAAATCCAGACAGATGTTATAATACCCATTTAATGAAAAATACTGAGTCTCAGAGAGGCCACCTGAATCATCCAAGGACTACAACTAGCAAGCTGTAGAGCCAGGGTTCAAAGTACAGAAGAGTAGAGGGATATTGAGGGCCAAAATCAGAATTCTATTAGGCAGAAGATATCTGGAAGCATCCATTAAGTCTGTGATACAAGACTTAGAGTTCCAGGGGAATAAAGGGATTGGAAATTAGCCGGGGGGGGGGGGGGGGGGGGGGGGAAGGAAAAAGAAAATGCTATAGAAAAGATTGGAAAATGCCTTTCATCTAGGCAAACAGGTTAGAAATGAGAAAGAATTTAAAAGAACGTGTGATGTTTACTAAGGAAGCAAGGACACAATATAATGACAGTGGACACTTATCCCAGGACAGAAGCAGCTTTCTCTATGCTTTCATTTATACAGTCAACTAAGCATGCAAAGGCAAAGGTCATGGTAGGGTGTAAATGTGTGTGTACATATGTGAATATGACACATGCAAGCATGTGTCCCTAGAAAGAGAGAGAGAGAGAGAGAGAGAGAGAGAGAGAGAACACTACCAGAGATTCCACACAACATAGATAGCTTTCACTAGGTTCATAAGATCAGTAAGAAGCAGCAATTCTCTGTCAGATTGGAAATTACATAACACCATCAATGAAGCTTGAAGGTTCTCGGATAATACTTGGAGAATAAAACATAAATAACTTGGGACTCAAAATAAGTTTTCTTAAACTCTTTGAGTCTTTAGATTTTTCCACTGGAAAAACTGGGTTTGAAATATCTATCTCCTGCATCTATTGGGAGGATTCAGCAAGATAAGTATGTGAAGGTACTTAGCACACTAATACATGAGGCACTCAGTAAATACTAGTTTCCTTTTCTTCTAATTAAACAAAAAAATTCAGTGTTTGGTTAAATTATTACTCAAAACAGCCCAAGGAAGGGGAATCTTTCCCAGGGTCAAGTGATGGCCACATTGAGTACTGGCTCTTAGAGCTGGTCCTGAAAGCTTAAATTTGTGGTTCATATCCAAGGAAATGGGGCACATTTTCCTTGAAGCTGGTCTGCCTCTCTTCAGCCATCTGGCATCTCTTAAGACATCTGGAACTCACTCAAAGTATATTACAGTCTGGGAGGCATATAAAATAGAATTCTGTTTCCCCAGAACGTGAGACAAATTGAGGCCCAAGGGACATTGGATACAAAAAAACAGCAGCAGCTGTGCCCCAACATTCATGCTTTTAGACACAGGACTTCAGAGTAGACCAGGAAAGGATATGAGTTGGAAGGGCTTTTCTTTTTGGACCAGTAATTCTTAATCTCCTTGGAGCGTAGGGGAAAGAATCACAGGCTTCCTCAAATTTCTCATGAAATCAATGCACTCTGTGTCCCTGTGTTGAGGGGGGTGGGGGTTGCCATCCTCACAGCCAAGTCTTCAGAGGGTTCACAGATCATCTGTAGCCTCTCAAATAAATGTATTCTTGAAGGATAATCTATGGGTCTTGCCACTCGAATGAAATTTTGCCCTTCTCATAGAACAGTTTAAAAACATATCAAACATCTACCATCCTCGTTCTGTGGACTCCCTCATCCTGTTCCTCTAGCACGTCTTGATGCAACGATGGCTTCTGGCAGGATTGGTGAAGCAATATAGGTCCACATCCTGGGTTCTGAGCACTATGCGAAGGCACTAAGGAGAGGAGACTATTATGATTTCAGTTCCTCAGTTCTCCAGGAACCCAGGAGAAAGGTGACATTTTAACTACGTCACAACTCTGCATGACAAATAGTGATGGCAGTAACTTGAAACACAAAGAAGGAACACCAAACTAGCCTGCCTCAAAAACCCTCCAGAAGAGATGGTACAAAAACTAAATCTTAGAGGACAAGTGAATTTGACAAAGAATTGGGAGGAGGAGCAAACTAAGGGATGGGAAAGGCATTCTATGTAAAAGAATAATGTGAAATGGAACTGAAAGGAGAGACAGCGTGGCTAATTCAGGGAACTGTAAGTCATTCAAATGGACAGGACACAGCAGGTATGTGGTGGCTGGGATTGGTGGGAGATGCTGCTCAAAGCGATGTTAGAAGAGAAAGTGGGAGCCAGTTTATGAAGGGTCTTTCTAGGAGGCTTAACCTTATCCTGAAGGCCCAAAAGGATCATGAAAAGATATTAAACAGTGAATGAATGATACGATCAAATTTGAAATTCGACCAAAAGCACCTTAATGGAATATGAAGAATTAAAGGCAAAGAGAGCCCTTTAGAAGGCTGTTCCAACAATTCAAGCAAGAAATTATGAGGTTTTAAACCAAGGCAGAACAGGAGAGATAGCGCTAGTAAAGTAGGTCTTGGTGACTAACTGGGTATGGGCCCTGAATTAGGAAGAATCAAAAATTACTCCCAACATTTTGGCTTTCACAACTTGGTGAGTGGTGGTACCTTTCACCGTGATAGAAAACAGAAAAGGAGTAGCTTTGGAGGAATGGAGGACAGGATGGGGAGTTCAGTTTTAAACACATTGATCTGGGGTAAGAAATTAAATAATGATTTAAGGGTCTTCAATATGGAGTTGAAACCATGGGAATAGTTAGCGTTACCCAAGGACATATAGAAAGTGAGAAGGAAGGTTGAGGAGGACTTTCATTGTTAAGGAGTAGTTAGAAGACAAGCCAGCAAAGGAGACTAAAAACAATCAAACAAGACCTGGGAATGGTCAGGAAAACCAAAAAAGAGATTTATAGAAGAATGGCATGATCAGCCATGTTTCATGCTATGAAGATACCATCTATAATTAGGACTGAAAAGTACTCACACAATTTCAAACCATGGAAACTACCAGTGACTTAGCAAATACAGTTTTAGTACAGTGATGGGGTAAAATGCAAATGGAGCCCTAAGTGGGAAGAGAGGAAGTTGAGAGAGCATCTGTGTACTACTCTTTCAAGGAGCATTTTGGGGAAATAAATATTTCACATGGAATTTTCTAAATAATGTAGACATTTTATTTACATTTGATTAAAAAACATTTCCTTACTAAACAGAAGAAACTACAGATAATGAAATCCTTTCTCATTGGATAAGGGTCATCATTATACATATTCATGCTTTAAAGAATTTTAGTAATAATCCTGAGTAACACTAGGTTGGCAGGATTTTCTGCTAGATGTTGGGTTTTTTGTTGTTGTTATTTATTTATTTGCTCCTTTATAACTGTCAGTTCTTAGCAGCTATCAATCAATCTGCTTCTAGGAACCCTGATGTACTATTTCTAATCTGCTGTTCATTTTAGCCTAGAGCAAAACTCAATGTTGCCAGAAGTAAATCAACTGTTTTTAGAATAACCTCTGATGTTTAAAAATACATCAACATGCTGTAATCATGAGGATAATTCCATTCTTATTTACGGACTAAAATGGCATAATGTCACTCATTTCTACCTCTCTAAAGTTACTTTTGCCCATCTCTGCCCATACACACTCTACTTTTTTCTGTCTTCATCTCATTCATTCGCTTCCTTGTTCATCTATGTATTCATCTGTTCAAAATTATTAATACTTTATTTTTCAGTATGGTGCTAGACAATGGTGATTGAAATATGAATGAAACACAACCACAGCCCTCAGTAAGCCAAGGTTTTGTAATAAAGTTCTAGTGAACAAATAATTACTGCCCAGTCTGGAAAAGGGTAGAAAACTATGGTAGGTGGGTAATGTCAAAATACATGCCGTTTCTAAAAAGCACCATACTCTTTCTCATCCATTAATTACATGTTTTTCTTCTGCCTGGAATTTTTCCTGACCTCTTATTCTTCTTATAAACTCTTACTAAGTTGTTTCTATGTTTCAAATTGATCTTTTTTCCCTCCTTGAAACATCCCTGACATTACTCCTCTATACCTAGTAAGTAACATGTACAAGTTTTAAACTTAGATTTGTTGCTATTTCCTTCCATAAAGACAAACCAAGATTAGTTTTTTTGTCACTATTTTAAAATCTAGGTTTTATTATTATTCAGCTATGGTCTGACCAACAGATCAGGAGATGACTGCCACTGAAGAGATCGTGTGTTACTCGCAGTTTCCAAGGGGAGGGAGCATGGCACATTCCCACAGGCCACACCAGAAGCAGCAGGGTTGGTCAGGAAGCAGAGGGAATAAGGGGAAAATGTGGTCAAGAGCCCTCATTGTGGAAGGGGCAAGGCAGGGTAAGCAGGTTTAGGATTAGCTAGTTGGATTTATTTCAGTGAGCTCAGGGACTCAGGGGCTGTCACCTAGTACTTGGCCCTGGGGGTGATAAGGGCATAGCAGCCCGAGTGTGAGAACCCCAGGAAAGAGGTTGGTTTGCATTTGAAAGAAAAGCATACTTTCAAGCCAGTCCTTTACTAAATCTAGGAATTAGCTGGTTAGCTGGGGGGGGGGGGGGGGGGGGGGGGGGGGGGGGGGACAATCATAAGATAAAAACATGCTTAATACAGTCACTATACTGGACTTCCTTTCAAAGTAGTAATAGTAGCTACTATTTAATCCAAACACTAAATTAGACATCTCTTTGTCTTTGTCCTTTCCTTCCTCCCTCCCTTCCTTCTTTCCCTCCTTCCCCTCTTTCTCCTTGTTCTCTCTCTCCCTTCTCTCCTCTCCTCTAATCCCTCTATCCTCTGTCCTCTCCTTTCTCTCTCTCCCCTCCCTTCCTTCTCCTCATTCTCTCTCCTCCCTTCCTCCTTCTCTTCATTTAAACAAATATTAATCAAATGCCTAACTTGAAGCCAGACACTATTCTAATTGTTTATTTTCTCATGTAAACCTCACAGAAGTCTAGGAAGTAGAAAATACTAGTCTTACTTAGTAGATGAAACATTGGGCACAGAAAGGTCACACAGATCACAGAAAGCAGAGTTGGTGTCCAAAATGAGTCCTGTTTCATTCCAAAGTCCATGTTTAAACAGCAAGATAAACACACAACACATGTTATCATACCCCTAAAAGTCTGACATGTTTGAATCTCAGTGCCATCCACCCACCAACCTGAGAACTGAACTGATTTGTCAGCTAAATTAAGAAAATATTAAGTACTTGGGAAACAGCACTGACACCTTATTCAATCATCCAACAGGAATGTATTTGGCATCTGGTTTCTAGATTAAGTTCCATCATTTATTAACTGTGTAACATCAAGGAAGTGACTTAGTCTAAGTCTTGGTTTTGTCATATATTAAATGCAGATAGCAATATTGACCATGCTAATACCTCAAGCTTGTTTTATAAATCAAAGGAGATACACAAATTTTTTTTTTTTTTTTGCAATTTACCTATATAATAATTGTATATAAGTTCTAGGCCTTAACCACCAATTCCATTGCTGACAAATTTTAAGACCAACATTTCAAAGTCCAATGGCTTCTGAATAATGAGCAATACCTCGGCACCAACCAAATACAAATTTGCTATTTTTTTTATTTTAATTTTTAAAAATTTAGTCCAGTATATTTAACATAGAGTGTTCTATTAGTCCCAGGTGAACAATACAGTGATTGAACAATTCCAAATATCACCCAGTGCTCATTCAGTGGGATATTATTGTCGTGAGTGATATCCTGATGAAATAATTCACTCCTGGGTACTAGTTCTTTGTCAAAATCATATGGGTTCTAATTATGGGAAGGAAATTCAAATCTTAATTTCATTATAACAAAACTCCAAATTCTTTCTTATTCTGCAGGTCAGGGCTATATGCAGAAAACATGGATTATATCTGACTTTGAGTTTTCTGGAAACATTGCTAAGCCACCAGAATTTGGGTTATCATGGTGAAATAAAGTAAGTTGATTTTTTATTCACGTAGTCCTTTATTAGGATACTAAATACTGAAATCTGTCTTTAGAAGTTTTTTTGTGTGAAGCTATCAATTTCATCACTTATAGATAGTTAAGGAATGTTTACTTATATTAAGGACAGAGTCTTCTTGGTCATAGAGAGACACAGCAGGAAACTTCAAGTTCCAACCATCATAGACCATCAAGAAAAGATTTACCATTCCACCTTAAACAACTAAAAACAGGACAGAATCTATGAAACAATAGTTTTCAGACATTTGACACCAGCCAGCATAGAACAGCAATTCCTGAAGAAAGGAAAATAAATAAGGTAAGCTAAGCTTACTGAACAAGAAGAGGAAATCCAGAGCCCAGATTCTTCTTTAGTTAAAGAGATGGAGTTTGGAGTTCAAGAAGGCCAAGAAGGTTAGAAAGCACAGTACAGAGTAGTGGAGAAGAGAGATCTGAACACTTCTCTTTCTAAAGAGTTGCTCTTGAGTCTTCATGTGAGTACTGGCTAATATATCCATTTGAGGAAACTACCCAAAGCCAGATGGGGGGCGGGGGTAGGGGGGCAAAAGAAAGACACAAAAATTTTTAGATCTTGCACAAAGGTGGGGAATAGTTCGTATTTCCACCAGTCAGTTTAAAATAAACTGTTATCAATATAAGTTGTTATATGTAAACTTCATGGTAGCCACAAAGCAAAACCTATAGTAGATACACAAAAGACAATGAGAAAAGAATCTAAGTATATCATTAAAGAAAGTCATTAAACCACAAATGAAAAGAGCAAGAGAAAAAGAAAGGAACAGAGGAACTACAAAATAACCAGAAGGCAATGAACAAAATGTCAATAAGTACATACCTATCCATAATTACTTTAAATGTAAATGGAATAAATTCTTGAATCAAAAGATACAGAGTAACTGAATAGATAAAAAAGAAACAAGACATATCTATATATTGCCTGTAAGAGACTCAATTCAGATATAAAGACAATATACAGACTGAAAGCGAAGCGATGGAAATGACATTCCATGCAAATGGGAACCAAAGAAAGCTGGGGTCACTGTAATCACATCAGACAAAATAGACTTTAAAACAAAGATAAGATGGAGATGCCAGGATTCATAACCATCAGAGCAGTAGTAGAAATATTAAAAGAAGTCCTCAGGCAGAAGGAAAATTATCATTTTGTATCTACACAAAAATATTAAAGCACTGGAAATAGTAAATGTGTGTATGAATAAAAAATACATTTTTTATTAAAAAACTCTTTAAAAGATAATTTATTGTTTAAAGCAAAATCAGAACACTGCAGCATGGGATTCATAATATAAGTGCAACCTTTGACAATAGCATACAAATCTGGGAGAAGGAAATGAAAATGTTCTTGATAAGGTTCTTATACTACAAACTAAGTAGTATAATTTTGTTTGAAAGAAGAATGTAATGAGTTAAAATGCTAATTAAAAAAATAAAATGAAACATAAGAACATTTAAATAATAAAAAAGACAAAAAAGATGAAAGGGAAACAAGAAACAAATAATATAAATGGAAAATAAATATTGAGATGTTAGATTTAAACCCAACCATATTAATAATTACGTTAAGTGTTAATAATCCAAACACACCAATTAAAAGGTGATTTTCAGACTCCATTAAAAAAGCAAGACTCAACTAAATGATGTCTACAAGGAGCCCATTGAAAATATAAACATGTAAGACATACCAAAAGTAAAAGGATGGAAATGATATACCATGCTAACTCTAATGAAATGAAAGCTGGATCAGTTATATTAATGTAAGACAAAGTGCATTCCAAAGCAAGGGATGCCAAAAAGTCAATTCATTAAGAGGACATAATGAACCTAAATGTTCATGTCCTTAATAATATAGTTTTAAGTTACATGAAACAAACAAAAAAAAAAAAACTAAAGGAGAAATAAACAAATTCACAACTACAATTGGAGAATGTAACACCTCTCTGTCAGTAATTGACAGAACAAGCAGATAGAAATTCAGTAACAATATTAAAAATTTGGACTAAATTATCAAATAACTTGATATAAGCAGCAGTTACATAACACCAACCAAAGAAAACAGATTCTTTTTAAGCATACATGAAATATTTAAAAAACAAACCATATTCTGAGCCACAAAACAAATGTCAGTAAGTTTAAAATGATGAAATCATATAAAATATGTTCTCTGACCATAATAGAATTAAATTGGAAATTAAAAGCAAACACACAAAAATCCTGGAAATCTCCAAACATTATGAAACTAACAACACACTTCTAAAAAACCTATGGTAAGAGGGAAAAGGGAAATTAGAACATATTTTGAACTGAATTAAAATGAAGCCGACATACCTGTAATTTTTAAGTGTTTCTCTTTTTCTAACATTTTATGTTGAATACATCAAAAATTAACTAGTAAATCAACTCTATGTTCAGAATATGCCCAGAATCTGGTTACTTCTCACCACCTCTATTGTTGCTTAACTACACCTCGTTCAAGTTACCATTATCTTTCTCCTGGATTACTATAATAGCCTCCTAACTGAACGAGGCGTCTCCCTTCTCCCTAGTTTATCCTCAGTACAACAGCTACAGTGATCTCTTAAAACCTAACATAATTTATATCATTGCTCTGCTCATGAAACTGCAAGAGAATCTTATTTCACTCAGAGGAAAGAAAAAGAAAAAAACATCAAAGTCCTTATAAAGTGTTCTACATGATTTGCTCCCCCATTGCTTCTCTGATTCCATCTACAACTTCCTTTGCTCATTCTGTTCCAGTTACACTGTGCTCTTTTTCTCACACACACCATGCACCCATCCACCTCAGCAACTATCCTCTGACTGTATCCTCTACTTAAAATGTTCTTTCTCAGATATCTCCATGCTAACCCTTTCACCTTTATTTTTTTGCTCAGATGTCACCTTGTCTGTGAGGCCTACACTAACCACCCTCGTTAAAGTTGTGGTCTCTCACTCCTCTTCCTCTTAACCTGCTTTCCTTCTGCTTTCTTCTCCACACTTATCAACTTCTAATGTATTCAGTGATTTGCTGATGTAAGATGTTTATTGTTGTTACTAGTCGATCTCTGATAGACTATAAGCTCTAGTTCCAGGGGGCAGGCAGAATCTTTGTTTTTACCCATTGATGTATGCTAAGTGTTTAGAGCGCTGCCTGGCATATATTAGAATTCAAGAAGCATTATGAAATTGAACTGAATTAAGGAAGGGATGGAATCTCAAAATAGTCTCAGGAATGCATGCAGATACACAAATTGTGACTAAGTCCCTCTCATGGTCAAATTGAAGAAGGCCATTCCTAACCACCCCATCAAAACCAGGTTCCTTGTTCTATACTTTCTCTTAGCACTCAGCTATTATTTTTCCTAAAACTTATCATTATTTATAATTATGTATTTATTTATATGATTTGTTACTTCAGTGTCTAGGTCGTAATCTCCATGCTGGCAAGAAACAGGACTGTTTCCCTCACATTATATTCCCAACATCTTCTAGGCCAGTACTTGGCACATGGAAAGCACGCAGTAAATATTTTATTACTTTATTTATTCATTTATTTAACAAACATTTATAGAGTTCCTACTGTTTACCAAGCACTACTCTAATCATTGGGAATATAGACATGAATTAAACAGTCTCCCCACTCTTGAAGCTTATATTCTTTTTTTTTTATTGAGAGAGAGTCGGGTGGTGGGGAGGATGTGAGTGGGGAGGGACAGAGAAAGAGAGAGGGAGAGAGAGAATCCCAAGCAGACTCCACCCTGCCAGCACAGAGCCCCACACTGGGCTCAAACTCACAAACATGAGATCATGACCTGAGCCAAGATCAAGAGTCAGATGCTTAACTGACTGAGCCACCCAGGTGCCCTGAAGCTTATATTCTAACAGGGAAGAGAAACAATAAGTAAGCTGGAATGTGTGATACATCACATGATGATAAGAGCAATACAGAGAAACAAAGAAGTGTAAAGATTAATGGGAACATCAATTGATGAATAAACGATGGGAGGAGGTTGAGCCTAGCCAATGAATTTCCACTAGACCAGCTTTGAACATGGGAGTTTCCCTTCTGCAAAATCTTGGGGGTAGTTGAGTAAGGGGCCGGGGGGGTGGGGGGTGGGGGGGAGGAGGCGGTTAAGCAGCAAAAGCATTAAAGTGGGCTAAGAGCCGAATAGAAGACCAATAAGCTAAAATTGGGAGTCCTAAAAAGGCATCAGTATAAATGGAGAAAATGCAAGCATCAGAGCTCACATTATACCTGGTACATAGTGTACCTGATTAAAACATGGGGTCCAGAACAAAGATTACAGGAAACAGAGATATGAGAGTAAGAGTGAATGGGAAGCAAATGGGGTTAGGCTATATATCAATATTCTCAATTTCCCACGCTTATATGCATATCAGAGAAGCGCACCAGTTTCTTTATTCACCTTTGACCTTTGAATGTTCAAGGACATCAAACCATGAGAACCAGTGAAGAACCTGTGTCATCCTTAAACAGTCATTGGCTAAAGCTTCTTCTGTTGAATTAAATCCATTCCGTTAAGGGCTTTGTATGCAAACCTATATCCTTAAGAGATTAAAGATGCAATTTAGACACACATTTTAAGAGCTGAATGCACGAATCATTATTTTAGTACATATTGTCCATTAATCTGCTGTTCAATTGGGAACCCATTTGGAATGTGGCTGCTTGCTAATTAGCGGGATTCTAGTGCTGAGCTGCTTCCTGATTAAATGTCCTTTAGAATCAATAAAACATCAGGAGGGATTATGGTGATGTGGGATTAGCCCCATCTAACCAAATAAAATGAGTTGTGTTCCCTTCTTAAACTGTCACGTTGCAAGAGCTGATGAGAGGAGCAATTTCACCAACGATGTTACAAAGTTGTTGTTTTTTGCGTTTTGTTTTTTTTTTTTAACACTGAGATTTTGTTTTTTGCCATTTGCCTACCA